TTTTGGGAATAATATTCAACTTTAATAATCTTATGTGATTCTGAAATTTATAACCAGAATAAAAAAAATAACAATGTAAAATATATGCATGGAAAAATAACAACAAAAAACACCACTGAGCCGAACAGACGATTGATAATAATAATAATCGATAATTAAGTAAAAGTAATGAAAAAGAACCATTCGTTACTGATTTTGAGTAACACGATGAATTAGATAAAAAAATATAACAGTTGTTGATATTTGCATTTCATTACAAGAGATTATGATTATTAGTTGTCTTATAGTTTTTTCTCTTAGGACACTTTTGCCGATTAATAAGGAACGAATGGTTAACCAAATATGCGTGTTGAATACCCTCGGCGAAAATTGTCAAAATTGCATGGCTCATAATACGAAGAAAAATACCATTTATATTTTACCAAAAACAACATATTGCTGTAGGTACTTCAAAGTGAAATTATGTTATCGTTTGAAAATTAAACAGTATGGGAATTCTTCGAATACGGGTATTTTAGGTATTTCTTTTTTCGTTATTTTCAATTGGAAGCGATTCACTTTTGTCTTTCTATTATATATAATATGTATTTATTAAATTTCAAAGAATCGCAGTCGAAAACGTAGAAGACACAGTTTCCATGCGAAAATTATGCTCGAAAAAATTGATTCGTGCAAAATCAAACACAATGAGTTTGTATTTGGTCTCAACAAGAACCGTAAAATGATAACGACTATAAGTTTCAATTCACGATGCAGATATTTTATTTATATCAGTAAACATTAGATGTTTCACTGCAGTTACTGTCGTACTCGGTAACGTATTTTATCGTACTGCAGAATTCTCCGAGTAAAACAATGAATTTATTTTGCTTATTCGTTTAAACATTGTCGATATTAAAATATTGAAATGTTATGCAGAAAGACCAAAAATAAAAATCGATGTGAACACGAAGTACATATTTTTCGAAGCGATTTTATTTTAATTGAAATATTTTTATGATTAGGTAAATATTGACAGAAAATAAAAATTAATTTTTGATTATTTTATTTATTTTGATTGAAATTACTTGAAATTATTGTAAAAAATATTTTCATGTAATTGTTTTGAAAAAAAAAACATCGCCATCATGTTAATTAATTTTAAACTCAAAGTTTACGAGGAATTTTCCTGATAGAATGATCAAAGAGAAACGTTTATCTGTACTTATTTTATTCGTAGTAAAATTTATCCAATATTGTAATTATTCTTTGATCCAATTTTTTGAACGAAACACTTAAAATATGGTAAGAAAATAAAGTAGATACAGCAATTTTAAAGATTAAAAAAATTTCCTTGGTGAAAAAATATATTAATTTTCATTAAAAAAAAAAAAAACCTAATCCAATAACTGAAATAGTCAATATCTATTTCATATGATATATTTTATTTTTATTTTTCCAACGGTAATGGAGCGAACTGTATGGGTAATGCATGGGATGTCAAAGAAAAATTGATTAATTCACTGAAATACTTTTTATGATTTTTCTCTCAATTTAAATGTCAAACTTTTGACGCTAATTTATTACTTTACTTGTTTATTTAAACTGTCGTACAATAATTATTGTATAAATGGTTATAATTCAATAATTGTTCATCGGTTTTGGATACTGTGCATTTTAAGTAGGACATTGTTAATTATTTTTAATCATAAGTGTTGGTTGGTTTGATAATCTTATTACGTTTTTATGGTCAATATTATTAAATACAAACCGTATTTATGTAGTGAATAAAATGTTATTGTTATATTTTATCTCAAATAAAAACTATTGCCATTAAAGGACTACTTAAAGATATCTAACAATATTTTGAAAAAGTTATTTTCTTCTAAAATTTTGGAATATCACAGAGATATTTCTAAAAGTTTCGGAAAACCATGTCTTATTAAATCATTTTTGTGAAAAGTTACATCCCGACAAGTAACTTGAAAACTTGTTTCTTTTTATATTTCAGGATCGTGGCATCTTTTTAAATTGAAATTAATAAGGTTAATGCTAAGAATAACGAACACGGACCGGTGCAATAATATTATTATATGTAATATGAGTAATAAATTATTATTATATAAAAAAAAAAAAAAATAAATAACAATAACGAAACTGCTCCATCCGAGATTTATATTTAACGATAATGAAACACTGCGGATATTCGTTGTTTCATAACACTGTACTTGGATTTTAGTTTGGATGTTAAAAAGAAAATTTGGGTATACGATAATATTTTAAAATCTTGCGGGTTCTTGTTTATTAATTTTTCACGCGAACGCAGTCGTTTTTTCGCGTATTCGTTAACCATAGCGAAACGGGCGTACGCTTCACGTCGTGCACAACACCATTTGTCAGGGTATAACAGTTGGTCCCGTTCCTTATTCATCCCCGTGCAATCCACGTAACACGCACAAACGTTATGCGCCGGAAACGTGTTGTGCAATCAAGCGGTCCTGCGTCCCGCGCACAGCGTCGCAGGATCATAATGATAATTGGTGCCGCAGTACATTTTGTCCGTGTCGCACGAACACGAGCACTCGGAAAAAAACCAAGATCGAGACGATATCAAATTACACGTGAATCAGTTTCATCCTGCGCAAACGGTTTCTGGCGCGCGTGTAAAACTCGTATTAACGCGGCGGATTCGGCGTCGTTCCAGCTCGGGCGAGAAGGATCGTTACCATTATCGAATCCAATGGTCATCGACGGACGGTTAACGACCGGTGTGTTCCGGGACGGCCAAGAAATCTACCTCCGTTGATTTTACGTCGAACGACTCACCATTGAAATGCAATAGCTTGTCCAAATCATATTACTTTAAACAACATTAATAAAAATAATTATTTATTTGTTATTTTATGAGTACTAACCGTTTAATCATTTTTATTTTTTATTATTCTACCATAAATTATACGTATTACGTTATAAATAGTTGTATACAAGCTATGTATTAATATATATCAACACTTTGAACGGTCTTGTCCCTTTAGGCTCCCTATTTATTTTTCGGCTTCATATCAGTTCATTTAAATTTGTTCTTATTTATTATACTTCCCCTCACTTAAAAATTATTGCATACACCACTGTACATATTGGTGTTTCGTGGGATATAACTTACCAGAGATAAAATGCTGTTACCCAAAAGTCACCTCTCGAAACTCGAACAATTCGCGAAACAACATAAAAAAAAACTATTCAAGTGGTACACAATAAACGGAAGTCATATCGAGTAGATTCTATTATGAATTTCACTGCGATATTTTTTATTTAATAAATACTAGAGCAGAGGCGGTTTATAAGCACCTTCTACAGGGCCAGTGCCGGTGCCCCGGTAAAAATATTTCAAAATATGTGGGTGGGTGGTTTAATATGATTAGCGGTTACATAAACACATGATTAACTTTTTAACGTTAAGACATAATGTAGATCGAATGAAGCTTGAAGATTTTTTTCAGGGTAGGCGGGTTCTTTAAACGACAGTGGCTAGGTAAGATGTAAATGTTCAATCCGCTTCTGTACTAGTGGACATACACAGTGTGGACTGCTGATGTCGTTTACCATTTATTGGCGTTATGAAGTTTTCACTTTTTATAATTTATTTATTTTATATATATATATATATTTACTATTTTTTTATTTTTATTTGGTAGAACACATATTTTGATGTGAGCACTTGATCCCCCCCCCCCCAAAAAAAAGTGGCCACAGGGCCCCAATCATCGCATTAAAGTAGAATATCTATTCGGACCGCCGGTGGATGGTATGGGTGGTGAGTGTAGTGACTGCTGCGGACACCTTGAACCATAATAATGATAATCCATTTTCGCACATGAACGCGCATTTAAAATATGGTACCCATCGACCTAGCACGAAAATTCTAGCTTCGTAGGGCTGAAAGTCTCGCGCGGCGCACCCGGTATCGCATCCTGGGGACGATCGAAGTCGAACACGTCCGGGACGGTGTACAAACGCGTCGCTGCCCGTGCACCAAATCTTCCACAGCGTTCTGACGGCGAGTCCCACGATGCGTGCCGACCCTTCACGACGAAAGCTCCTTCGCCCACCGGGTCAAAGGGACGGTCACGATCGTTGTCCGCCACGAAGACGACGACGGGAATGTTCGCACGACGCGTACCATTACGAACCTACGGAATCACGTGTGGGGGGAGGAGAGCACTAGCCGAAAGGGTGCCGGAGCAGAAACACCGCCGGTGGCTCCGTGCAAATTAAATTTTAGCGTGTTCACCGAACGTAACTTCTCGAGTGCAACGGTGACGAAGCGAAAACTTTGAAGTGGCCTCGCGTGACTCAGACAACGTCGGGCGACAGCTTTTCGTTAGGTTTTTTTCCACTCGCCGCGCGCTAGACCTTTTCATCTTCCTTCGCCACCACGTCCTTGTGTACCGGCCGAAAGACACTGTTTCGCATTTCCCATTCTCGTTCCGCTTGTACACCTCTCGCGTGTCACCGTACCGTATCTCCTCGGCTACCCACCACCGGCAGGAATTTTTCACCCTTTTTACTTCTTTTTTTTTGTTCGGCTATACGATATGATTTGATAACCGCGGTGTTCCGAAAACGTTATTCCTTACGGAGCTAGCGGATTTCGCGCCGAACTATTACCGTAACGTGTGTATTAGCCCAGTGCACGCATGCCGCCGCAGTTTTGTCGGGATCGTCAGTGCGACTTTCTAGGACCGTACGTTTTTGCGTTTTCGCAAATCCATTGCGTTGCACTACGCACCCTCCCCTCTGCGTGCATACGCGCCACGGTTACAGCTTTGCTCCTGACTGTAAATATTTGATTTTACGTTATTTCAATACACGCCGCAAGCTTTTTTTCTAAATCTCTTAATCCTAAAATATATTGTTCATTGTTGTTGCCGTGAAACTTGACATTTTATATTTGTGTGTGTGTGTGTGTGTGTCGAAACAAAGAAAACGAACTACGAAGCAATCAAACGTATAACACTTACCTCCACACGCCTGCGGTGGCAATGGGAATATGAGTGTAGTGGAGCTTTTCCTTCTGGCCACAGCACAACCGAGCGATTGCGGTTTGAAACTACGAAGTTGTTGCATAAAATCAGAGCACTCCATCAGAGCGACGTCGGCAAAGTGCAGATCACACAGTATGTGATTCTTGAACCTTCTGGCCCGTTTCTGGTTTGGGCCGGTTAGGTTCATTCCGCACGAATTGCAACGCAAACATTCCTCGTGGTAGTGCTTGTTGTCATACAACAAAGAAGTTTCTGCGAAAAAGTAAAAAAAAAAAAATTGAGAAATTGTTAAAATCCAATTCTTTGTTGGTCTGTCGGTACATTGGTTTTTATACGATCAGGTGATAAGCATGTAATCATAGAAAGACACCTTAAAGCGGTACTCATCGGATTTAAATAAGGAAATTTCATTTAGTTCGTATACAGATAAGTGTACAAAAACCGCGTTTTGTGTTTCATACAACTTTTAAATCTAAATTAACTTTACGGTAACATAAGGAAAAAGAAAAAAAACTTTGCATATTTTAGACTAGAAATACGCTAAAAATCTGTATTCATTTATGCAACAATTTTGGACGGAATTTGTTGTTGTGCTACTAGTCTTAATACTTTGTTATTATTTTTTTCTTTCACAAAACTCCGTGGTTTCGAATACCGAGTTTCAGAAATATAAAAAAATGCTGTAAAGCTTTTGTTTTTTCTCCGAGTTCGTTGTGGATCTAGACAACGGAAGATATATTTAATCATATTTATGAAAATCAAATCACTGTTGTATTTCGGGAGCGAAGGATAGTTAACGAGAGTGAAGGAAACGTCTACACGAGATTTTGTAAAACATTTTTGAATATTTGATAATCATTTCATCCTGTTTCCAAATCAGCGATTTATTTATGAATTATCGTTTTGCAATTGGTTTTGAATATTTCCCAACAGTGAACGTTTTAAAATATTTTTATTGATAAAAAATAATATGAAATGTATAAAAATGAAAATCTCTAAAAAGTTTAAAGCCGATTTACTTCAAGCACAAAAAGTCGAGCAATAATAATAATGGGACGTATATTCTTTTTGATGGTATAATAATTTGAGATTATTTTTTACTACACGTGATTTGTACTACACTATAAGTTCGAAAATAATATACTCGCTCAGAAAAATATTTATTTTTTTTTCCCAATACAAATAAAGTATTCGTGTTTTGTGTGTAATTGACGTACATAAAAAATATATGAATATAAATATATTTATTCAATCGAACCAATAATGATTTAGACATTTCTTTGGTAAGAAACGGATATTTTTTAAAAAAAAAGAAATAATAATAAATAAAAAATTGGATACCTAACCATTAAAAGTAATTAAATTATGGCTTCGTATAAAAATGTTTATGCTTCGAAAAGAAGAATTTTGTTCTAAATATATTCATCAATATCTAAAAAATAATATTATTATTGACAGAAAACAAAAATATTAGTTATTCCCTCAAAGTATATGAACGGAATTCACGATAGTAATATAATGGATAAAGACATTAACATTTGTAATTGTAATAAACGCGATATTTAGCAGAATAGTATGGTGTACTACAGTATATTGTTTTTTTAATTTTTAAAGGAATTCGTAAAACAACCGTGTATAATTCAATGTAATTATTCGTTGTTAATGAAAATAGTTTTCAATATTAATTTACTTGAATATTAATATTACCAAAGTTATTTTCATACCAAAATATTTACTACATTAAAAGGCAATAATAATAAGAGAGAATTATTATTGTATTACTCTGACAATGACTTAGTGTAATGCATTGCGTTTCCGAGGTATAATACACCGATATAAAAAATATGCAACGTAAATCATGCAACGAATCAGCAGCCGTAAATATTTCAACAGCGACAAGACTAATTATTGAGTGTGTACTCTTTTCGTAATACATGAACCACACGGTGTTTTGCGTGTAAAAACCCGTTCGGATAAAACTGAACTCTGCCAGTCGGAAGTTAAAACGTATCCGTGCGTTCGTTAATTTTTAAAATTCTGTTGTTCGTAGCTCGTGTCGATGAAAAAACATTTGTGCAGCGCACGAGTTGTCCACATAGAGCTCGGTTTGCTCGACCGAAAGATCGCCGAAGAAGATGCGCGCTCGAAAAGTTGTCGCAATCGTACCGCCGAACTTCAAGATCCCTTCGCCGGATACGCTATTTATTATTTTTCTTCGTTGGTCGTCGCGTACCCGAACCGTGTACACTTCGTGCGCGTCGCAACGATATCAACAGATCGATCGCGATACGTTTACCGGAACAACGACACGAACATCTGATTGCGAATCGTGTGTGTCGCGCAGGGGCGGGTTTTATCGCTCACCAAGTGAGAATTTAGTTGGTTGTTTTTTAAATCTATACAAAATTTTAAATTACAGAATATGTTTTTGAGTCTCTCATAAGTAAGTCATTTTGTTCACAACAGTGACAAGTGTTAAATAGTTACATTGTTGGTATCGATTTTAATCCGAAACTATATTAAAAATATGGCTACCTACACATATATAATTAACAACGATAATGAGCTTATTTATTTGTAAAAAAAATTATAATAAATAGGTACTATAATCATCAATGACGATATTTTATAACTATTATTAATATATCAATATACCATAATATTTGGTTTTGTAAAACCATTATATAAAATATAATGCCAATAAGTAAGGGCCTGATGCACTCCTAGCTACCCCCTTAAACCCGTCCCTGGTGTCGCGCGATCGCGGGACGCGAAGAGTGACCACCAACCGGGTCGTAAAACGTTCCGACGGAAAGCGCACATAACGCGTTTCGAGGTACATGTTTTAGAATGTCGTGTTGTAGAAAAACCAAATCTTAGATAAGCCGTGCTCTGGGAAAAAATATAAAATGTAATATTAGAATAAGTATTTATGACACGAGATTATTGAAGGAGAAATCATTTTCGTATTAAATTATTAATTATTGATTATTTTTTAATTTGTACACAAATTAATTTTAATCCTAATTTACACCCATATTTTACGCGCAAAATTGTTTATGAAATAAATAAGTACAAAATGTTTAAAACAGTTTGCATTATAGAACTTTCATATTCTAAAACATGACTTTCTAAAACCGGCTCCAGTACCCGGAACGCAGCGCGCGCGTTCCGTCGGCGGCTGATCCGACGACACGAAACGTATCGCACACCCTCGCTGCACCCCCAACCCCGTACCGTAATAGGGTTTTTAGCGCCCCTGAGTTCAAATGTAGCACTTCTGTTTTTTTTTTCAGACTTATATAATCTATAGTAATTACGGTTAAATACCGTTTAATTTTATTTTCAGCGATTTCAGAGCTCCCCCAATATTTAGGCTCTGGTTGCGCCCATGACGGGTCCGTCTCGTAACATATTTCGCACTACGGTCAAACACGTGAACGTAGACACCGTACCGTACTGTTCCGATGCAGACACATTGTACCCGTACTCACATTTTCGATCCGACATCGCTTCCGTTTCAACAATATATTTTTGTAAGTCTCTATAACAGTCTAGTATATTACCAACTGGTTTTTATTTTTATTTTCGCGTTCCGCCGTGTGATGTCCGCGATACGGATACCGATTCATAACCGTACGACCGGCCCTCATTTTCCTTGTACGGATGTGTTGTAAAAACAAAAAAAGCCACGTGGATACTTGAAAAACAACCACCCGATTGTTTTTTTTTTTTTTTGATTCCATAACGCGGGCTGTGATACGCGCGCGCGACGGCCGAGACGTAGTCGTTGGCGGATCGGTGAATTGGTATCGAACGCGTCCGAATGTGTTGTTCGCGCGGGCGACGGAGACGAGCCGACGAAAAGATTACCAGAGCGAAATACGTTCGTGTTTAGCACGTCGCAGGACACGATAACGCGAACAAACGGTCAAACGAATAATGCGATTGTTATTATTATTGTTTCGCGCCGCGTATCAAACGTCATAGTTCACACGCATTTGCTTTGGAATAACTGAAAATCGGCAGTTGCGTATATACATTATACATTTATTTTTTTTGCTCACCGCTGCTGTTCACCCGTTTATCAATCCCGTTGTTCGACGGTAAGTGTGTTGCTCTAAATATTGTTCGATTTTCTCGTTTCCGATACCGACCTTCGAAAACAAGAGCCCGAAAAACGCGTATTGATTTTACATTAATGCGTTTTTCATTTTTTCAAGTCCGCGCCTATTTATATTTGGGACCCCCCCCCCCCCAGGTTATGCTCCGAGCAATTTCCGCGTTTATATTTATATATCATGTACGCGATATTTTTTTGAATACCGTGTGCGCGTGGTATTTTTATTTTCGCATTGAGTCCCCGTCTCGCCGTCATCGCCGTCGGAACATGGTCGATTTTCCAGCACGTATTTCCACACCGAGAACTTCGCGTACAAGTTCGGTGCCGTATAACGACATAACGATCGAATCTATTTATTTATTTTTTTTCGTTTCGCATCGAAATATAAACCGTACACGCGTAAGTCAAATGTTCATCATGATCCGGTTTTGATGATGTTTCGATCGATTAATAAGTTAAAATGTAAAACGTGTCGTACGCATAACGGACAATCGAAACATTCAGATGCACTCCCATGCCGGTCGATTCCGATACAATGCTATGACGAATTCGTGTACGCAGGTTTGAATATTTATTATTGTTATTAATTTTTTTATTTTTTCACAGATTCAAAAGGCGTAGAAAGAATGTAGCGAATCGATACTGTTGCATGTACCGACAGATTGTCCGATAATTATCCAAGATATTTCTGTTTCAAATTTTATTTACATTCGTTTTTTTCTATAAACATTGAAAATCGTGTACGCTATAGATGTTAAACGAATAACATGTGACCATCGAGTGACGATTATCTTCGGTTAATATCGTGTATATTTGTAGTCCTGGTTCGCACTGACAATGTGTGTAACAATAATTATAAACATTGATCTAACGAAGAAGAGTGTGCTCGAACCCCTTTGCTCGCCCCGCGATTATGTGACAAACGGTTTTTCACAATATTGATCTCCTGTTCTGTCCTGCTCGTACAAACACAAATCACATTCGCACCGCGACGGGGGTATACAACTAATAATCGTTCAGACGACGTTTAACGGGAAGTTAATGTATCCGCAGCCGGACACGTTTGCCAATCCAGATATTTCGATGGCAATGAATACCGCTGTAACAACGTATGGGTGCACACCGTTAT